TTTCCCCTTTCATTGTTTGTGTTTGCACAAATATTCATCACCTTTAAGTCAGTATTTAGTAGATGCTCCTTTGGCTGCAATTACAGCATTGAGCCTGTGTGGAGAGGTCTCAGTTAACCTTGCACATCTGGACACTACAGTTTTACCCCATTCTTGTTTGCAAAACTGCTTTGGTGTTCGCCAAAAATACCATCAACATGGCCAAAAAGTTCAATTTATGGTGTCATCAGACCAAAGAACCGTTTCCAGTTGACTTCAAAGTCTCCCACATGTCTTCTGGTAAACTCTAGTCAAGATTTAATTTAAGCTTTTTTTTTTTTTGGCTTGTCTTTGCTACTTTCCCATAAAACTTTAGACAGGGGATGGATTTATGGGCTCCTGTTATTGCTAACTTGAATTTTTATTTATTTTTTAAAAATCTTTAAACTTAATTTGAAATTCTCCTCTTTGTGTGGGTTTAGATGATGCCATGAATTGGTTGTGTTGTCGAACTGTATATTTGTTTTGGTTCATGATGTGTATGTTTTTATTTGTCCATTTTCAAGCTGCATATAAATCCGCCACTAAAGCTTTTAGCTTCTTCATAGAAGTCTAGTTGGCCTCCCTAACTAGTTTCTTTCCTGCACAGTTTAAGGAAGGCCTGCTGTAGGCAAATATATGCATGTGTCATACTTCTTTCATTTCTTAATAATGGATTTTGCTGTACTTAAACATCAATTAGTCACTTGGAAGTGTTTTGTATCCATCCCCTGACTTATGCTTTTCAGTAACCTTTCCACAGAGTTGCTTGGAGTGGTCTTTCATCTTCACAGTGTAGTTATAGCTGTGGTAGTGATTTACCAGTGACTGGGCCTTCCACATACAGCTGTCTTTATACTACAATCACTTCAGACAAACTCACTTAGCTTAGATGTTTTCCATTTCACTAACTGTGTGACTTCTAGCACCAGTTAGCTGCACATGTGTTAAATAAGGTGAGTCACTTTAAAGGGATAAAATACATACCCAGTCACTTGTTTTACACTGTATATTGTTAAGCATTCAGCAGTACTTACATGAACTATGATGTGATGTTGAAAAGCAATAAGAGAACTTGTTCCTGATTGATCAGAAGCAGTAGTATTTGCATGCAATTTACTCTGAATCCTTCTAACGTAGACAGAAGGAATTTTCAGTTTGCTTACTGTAAATACACGCCTCCCTAAGTGTTTACCCATTTTTTAAATGATGATGTGTGTCTCAACATTACCCCATAGATTGGTTTATGTTCTATTCACAGTGTTTATGCAGACAGATCTATAACAATCATAACTATGGGCTCACTTTCAGAGAAGTGAATGAAAACCCAGCTAAACCCAGGCTCTTCTGCACAGCAGCTGTTGTGTGTAACAGGGTACCAACAACCTAATGAGGCAAGCTATAAATTCAAGGTGTAGTGAACCCTGAGCTGCAGGCTGATGACATGCTGTTAATGCAGACGCACTATTAAAGTAAAGCTGAAAGGAGGTATTTCAAATTAGTAGTCAGTTTACACGAAGTCTGCAGCCCAGCACACTCACCAAACAAGCCGATGTAGACCTCCTGCAGTGAGTGAACGCTGCAAAACTGGTTGAGTTCGTGGTGAACCTTGTTGAATATCAAAGCTTTGTCGTAGTCTGCGGTGAAGTTCCTCACTATGTCATACACTGCAGAGGAAGAAACAAGTGCTTAATTAAGTCAAGTAAAGCAAAGCAAATATACAGATTAACCTGGTTCTGATGTTCTTCATCTAAGAGTGTCTGTCTGTCAGTGCTGAGGAAGTTATCATCAGATGTTGAATCCAAAAGAAATGGAAGGGGGAGTTCTGGATAAACATATTGTTTGATGTTTTTGGCCAGCTGAGTTTACCTGCTGATGGAACGAGATAGTTCACCACTTCTATACGGTCAAAGTAAATCATCACTCCTCCACTGAAAGAAAGAAAGAAAATACATAACAATCACTTTTACCCAAATGCTAGTGGGAAACAAAAGGGACTGCATTTTCAGTCTGGATGTTGTCAGTGGTTCTAACATGTGCTGACGAACCTCTGACTCCTGTAGTGTTGGCATAATACTCTACCAAAGGTATTGTGTGGGAGTCTGAGCGTGGTATATGATGAGTGTTAAGCATAACAAATCACAACACTACATCTGACACCACTTAAGCCAATAAAACAGCAGACCTACCTTGTGCCACATGGTACATTCTTCACCTCATCTGTCTGCAGTGTCGTCTGCAAGACAAAAACAAATATTTATAAGTTTAATTTATTATTTTCCTAACGGTCTGCATGTTGGGAAGTCTTTCATGTGTTTATTAGAAAAACACCCACAGTGGTGGGGCTGAAAGTACATCTATCAACACTACATGAAATGAGGGCATTCAGTATGTTTAAGTGAAGAAAGCTGGAGTTCAGCTGTGCACACAGGATAGACACAGCAAGAGGAAGAGCTGTTGACTATCATGAAATTTGATTCAACATTACAAAGAGCTGAACCAAATCTCTGTGACACAATGTCACAACACAAACTCAACATTATAACAGAACACAAGTTGGACATATTACACTCTCTTGTACTGGAATCTTAGGTTTGTCCTTAAAGTATAGGAGGTGAGGTAATGAATTTGAAACATTTTCATTTCCTTTCTTCGGGCAGCAGAGCACTGGTCGGCTAGATCAGGTTTCTAAAGTGGAGCCAGAACACATCATTTTTAATAACGGCTTCTTATAGCCCTCTTTCTTCAAACAGTATTTGAGGAGCATCCAGCTCCATACAGCAGGGACTGTCAGTCTATCTGGAATAATGTTTTAATTTCTCCAAAATCCTCCAACATTTCTAATGAATCCTCCTTCTTAG